TCATATACTTCTTGGACTACTGTATCGGATCTCTTTGGTGGTTAGCACTGCTGTACCTATTGCTCCAGATATCGGTGCTCATCATCCGAGGTATGAACACCTAATCAACTCATTATACAAACAATTATTTTTAGTCTAATTTGGGATCAAAATCTCGAAACATTTTATATCCAAAAAAAATTTTTCACATATTATTTGAATATTTGATACCTGGGTAAATAGGCCGTCCTGTGGGCACTGAAAATCTAGTCTCGATGCTGGCCAGGGATGAGAACACCCGTAGTTGGCTACTGCCGATACTGACTTTCCAGTGGAACCTGATTATGCCGATCGCCACAATGGTTTGCATATACATACATACCTATTCCCACCAATCACTTAACATACCATTCCCTTTGACAGATACTGTCGATCGCGTTCACCCGTTCCCATAGCGCCGGTGGCCTGACGTGGACCCAAGCGGTCACTTTCTACCCGTATTGGCCCGATTGGACCAAATCCCTGTCCACTGTGTTTCAGATCACACCACTGTTTCTCGTATTCTTCGTGGGATCCGTTCAACTCGTCATTTATTTATATCCCAAACAGTCTTCAGGACTCTTCCACGAGAGGATACAAGTAATGAATGATAAACCATTGTCTTTCAGGGTGTGGATCTACTGGATATATATACGTACGATATGAATGTCCCCATAATGTAGTGCTACTATACTTTTTGATGATTTATACATAGCTAGCAATTAATTTAACTTTTTTTATTAAATGACTTTTTCTTAAAATTATTGATAAGTATTAGTATTTGAAGGGACCTTCATTCAATATATACGCCCACATTAATTATTAGCAATTAAACAGTGTGTGTGTATATAAAGCTTTCGACAAAAGGGTGCGTAGTCGTTTATTTAGCATTAAAAATCGTAGAATAGAGCTAGGACAAAATAAAAAAATTTGCAACTATTGTTTTTTGGCACCAATCCATCGGTATGCCCAATTTTATTTGGACATAAGGGGAACGGTAGATATGCCTGTCCACCAATAACTTAAAAACTATAAGATGTAGGCAAGATCTGATTTT